ATGACAAAACACCTGTCGCAATGGATTGAGGCGGCCGCCGTGCCGAATCAGCGGGCGGCGACGATCAGCGGAGTGGTAATGCATCACATGGTGGCTCACCATGGGGTGCCAAAAGTGATCCTATCTGATCCGGGGCCTTGCTTCGAGAGCGAAGAGTTTCGTAATTGCTTGCAAACGGGTAACGACGGCACCAGACCACCCGCAAACAAATGGATCAGCCAAAAGTAATAACCGAACGATCAAGGAGGGGCTTTTGGCCAAACAAAGGCCTGGGGAATTGAACTTGCCAATGGTGTTGTTAGCTCATCCTGATTTCACGCAATCAATTACTGGCACGTCCCCGTTTATGTTAGTGCATGACCGATAACCGAGCCTTCCGGTTGATCAAGATATTGGGTTGTGGCCGGAAACACACTTGTCTCCGGAGGAGCTAAACGAAGAAAGAAAGAGAGCTCGAGAAAATTTGACCGCCGTTCAAAAAGCACTAGGGAGAAAACTGCAGGTAGAAAGGTGCAAACGTTCCCCATAGGCACGAAGGTCAATTGGAAGGATCACCAGAATCCTGGAAGGAGTAGACTGGGGTCGCGGAAGCCGGGCAGTCGATGACAAGGGCGTTTGTCGTCACCGACCGCCGGGAGAACGTTTATACCGTTCACGATGGTCGGGGATCGAAAGTAGTGAATGAGACGCAGCTTCGCAAGTGGCATGGCACACCCGAAGAGCGACCGAGTAGACCCGCTGTCGAAGCTGACCTAACGGAGGTAAATGAAAATCGGTGGCATGCGAAAGAGCTTTAAGGGCTGGAGGTGTGTACCGGTGATACTACTGATCGGGAGGCACGCGAGTAGTACGTGTTGTTTATAGAATTTCGCTTTGCATCGATTGAAAAATGGAATTCTGTTGCGGAATTCGCGGGGCCACTTTGTAACATTTGCTTTTATTTGACCGACGAATGATTGGAGGCAATGAATCTCCAGGAAGACTCGTCCGGAAGAATACCCGTGTTCAGTTTTTGTAGCTAAGATGCAGATTAGAGTTTTGCTTCCTTGTTCAATCGTCTGTAACCGGTGAGTTGGCATTTCCGAATAAATAACTCCGCAGCGAAGGCCTTCTGTGTCTTACCGGTACATGGCAACAAATTCAACGACCTTTCAAGGAATAAGTTTTCCGACAACTCGACGGTTATCACTGGTAGCCAGTGTTATATGTGCACTACTTTGCGTTATGTAACAACTACATTGATGTGCGACATTGAAGGTGCTATAATGTTGATAAAATGTCAAGCAGGCCAAAATGTTTTAACAAGCCTGCATTGCTTTGAATGATGGCGTCATGTCACCTTTTCTAGGTCGACTAATAAATTTGGATAATTTAAATTAATTGCAACGGTGTTTTTCACCGTTGGTTGCTTTTACTCATCAAGAAGCTATTAGGATTCTCAAGATCAGAAGGTACTCTGGTTGAATGGATGGATCGTACACGTACACTAAAGAGAACGTTCCGGTTTTCCGGTCTGGTCAGAACTTACACCGATGGGACTCTTGAGCATGCTTCAACTCTTCGCCTGCAGTTGAAAATATTGCTGTTTAGTAAAGCACAAATAATTATATTGAGACTGTAGTACTGCTATACATTAAATCACTGATTTTGATTCACGCGCTCGCGATCCTTGTACTATATCGATAGATAGAACCTCGCACATTCCGTCGACCCTGAGATTTTATAATGTAATCCACCTGTAAGTTTTGCGCACTGCGTTGAGATCCAGAATCAACAGTTAAGTGCCTCTGGTAATGAAATGTCATAAATGCGGTCTTTGTTTCTATGTAGTCGCCTGTTGAGGAGCCAAATCAGTTGATCATCCGACAAATAGTGTCCTAATCTGCGTAACATATGACATAGTTAAATTGGATAGTAAAATTATCACTAGAGATGACAGTCAAAGTATGGATCGATGCATACTACTGATGAATCACAGAACAGTCCGCTGTGCCAGGACACTACACCCATACACATTAAAAGGATTTGAACTCTAGGCAATCATCGGTCAAAGTATGGATCGATGCATACTACTGATGAATCACAGAACAGTCCGCTGTGCCAGGACACTACACCCATACACATTAAAAGGATTTGAACTCTAGGGCAATCATCGTCATCACCATCATCACTATTGTCACCATTGGAGTTCAACTTCCGTGCGCACATTCGAAATTCAACTGAAGCCTCATTAAAAAGAAAAGAACAAAATTAAATTAAGAAAATGACATGTTATTGGCCTACCACAATTATTCCGATGCACATGTAGCCCCAGACACTCACTTAGGCGATCTGATTCTGAAATGGCTACAGCAGCTCCACCAACA